ATTTACAGCCAATTGCAGTTGAGCTTGCAGCTTGCATTTTAAACGCGTTGTTATATCGTTGAAAAGTATGCGTTCATTCCTTAGAAAGAAACACGCCGTTGCTAGGGGCGTAACGTGAACTTTTGGCGGGCATTGTTGAACTTCTTACGGCGTGCAAACAAACGTATAACGAGTTAAATATATTGTAAAAACGCCGCTTAAGCCTGCGACGGAACAGTAAGGTATTTTTAGAATGCCTGCAGTCAAATTAGAACTCCCTGGTCGGTTTTGTGACAAAATCTAATTTAATATGACAAAATCTAATTTAATTCGTCAACGCCAAGAATAGAAAACCATGTTTACGTCGTTACAACGCGCGCCAAAAGTTCACGTTACGCCCCTAGCAACGGCGTGTTTCCAAGGAATGAACGCATACTTTTCAACGATGCAACAACGCGTTTAAAATGCAAGCTGCAAGCTCAACTGCAATTGGCTGTAAAACGGGTCACCGCCGAGATATTTATACTAGAACGATTATCGTAATATGATGCGAATGCGTGACCGAAAAGAGTTAAAATTCAAAACCGACTCCTCCAAAGAAATTCCCAGTAAAACTTCATAAATGGACATGCGAGGAAGATAAAGCATTCATTGAATTCATATCTGTTGCAGATAATCATGCGAATGATTGCAATTGAAGAGGTTTACCAATTATGTAATACCTCTAGATTGTTTTAATACATCATTAAGCTCATATACTATTCATGTGTACTGGTGAAATGAATGTAATGCAACATTTTAAAAACTTCTCTTTATTTGTGCACATAATTTTTTTTTTAAAAACTATTTTAATTATCTTTAAGTACAGTAATATTATGTTAACATTTTTTCGATTTTAAAATAAATAAATTTTATAAACATCAATTATGTAGTGTGTGATCTTTTTATTAATTTGTGATGAGCAAGAGAAGACTATACACTGAAAATCGTGAATACCATACATACCATAAACCTCAGAATATAAGCCCCCCCCCCCCGTGTATAAGCCCCCTTGTGTAAGCCCATCAAAAATCACTTATGAAAGAATATAAGCCCAGTGCTTATAGATGGAGGTTTACGGTAGATTGTCAAAAAACTGCAGAACTGATAAGATGGTGTCCATGGGATACAATACTTATGGTATAATGGGCCATTCCAGAAAACATCCATACCACCCCCACAGAGGAAATAGGAAGTTAACCCCCCTACCCCCTTCGGATGTCCTAATACATTTACTATTATCAGAAACAAACCCCCCCTCCTCCGGACGGCAGAACTTTCCTCCGTGGGGGGAGTATGGATCTTTTCTGGAACGACTCAATCAGGGAAGTGACGAAAACACACGCAGTACAGGAAAACCGGGGTAGGGCCAAGACTGTACCACTACAGGTACCCCAGCTCTATCCTTACTAAAAAAAAAGAAATGTCAGTATTACACCAGACATCAATATACAATTTTGCAGCTTCTGCTAAACATTTTGTTTCAATGTTTTTTAACCCATTGAGTATTTGAGTGTCAGTACTCTCCCCCTGATGAGTAAATAGTCTAGTGTTAGACAGTAAAATAATCTGGCGTTAGGCAGAGTGAAATAATAGACAACTGGTTGATCATTTAAGCATAGATAACTGGTTGATCAGTATAAATCCTTGCAATGCATCACACAGTAGTCAGTACATTTATATATAGTGTCATGATAGTGCTGAATCGCCTCCATTTCATTCTCTACAATGCTATCACTGGGTGCTTCTTCCATCATTTGGTGTGTATGAATGTGTGTCAGGGCAAACAGGATTTATTGGTAAATTAAAACAGCTACAATCAGTTGGCTGATGTAATCTGTTGGTGGAAGTGCACTATCCAACTCATCATCTTGACTATTTGGGATGTTGGTGATGTTGAAATGTCAAACTCCCAACAACATAATATTGTTATATTCTTCGTTTATACCTCCTTCCCGTGGATCATTAGGGTCGAAGAACTACAAGATATGAAATAAAAATACGTTTTTAATAATACTGCTGTATTTTTAATACAACATAGGAGGATTTTTCTATTTTATTTAATATAAAAATCATCTCACCTTAAAAACACAACTAGAATGAATTTGTTGACAGCAGATAGCACTTTAAATTTATTCGAAGCCTGTTGCGTTAACAGCTGCTCTCATTTCTTTTGACCCACATTGTCAAATTTTCATGTGTGAAGACACCGGGATAACGAAAGAAAACCCACAACTTTGGGCAGGGCGTTCACTTTCTCTCTCTTTTTAATAGCGACCTTAAGGTTACAGGTCACCCTTTTTGGCGTTTTGCGGAAAATCGCTACTGCGCGCTCAATATCAGTCCGATTTTCATCAAATTTTCACCAAATGTTCGCCAGTGCATGCAAAATATGGCAAAATTGTAAAATTAACAAACAATAAAATAATGTAAGAATAGTTCAGGAAAATCTTAAATCGCGGTACCGTTACGCTTTTGAGTTGTGCTCCTGCTGGTTTAAAGTTATAGTTATGAAAATATCATTTCTATACAGCAAAATAGTTGTTCTAAAAAATTGTGTTCGGAAATTTTTGTTTATTTCGTCATTCCGCTGATATGGCGATTTCTTTGACGACTGCAATATATTTCTGAATTGTTTGAGTGAATTGTTCTTTATTATTAAAATATCCAAAAGCCGAACACAATTTTGAAACTGACGTCTTTAGCTATCAGCCTAGTTCCTGGCCTTCTCGCTTCCGCCTCGTTATTTTAGGGGGAAATCGCTAAGGTCAGTTGCAGGTTGACCGGGATAAAACTGACAGCCCGCAATTTCACGACAGCCTGTAACTCGCCCGCGCTTGGAAGGCCAGGGACTAGGCTGTTTAGCTATGTCCTGTGAAAATTTCAGAAAAATTGGTTAAAACCCGCAGAAGCACAACTCGTTTGAAAATCAGTAATTAGCTACCGTAAAATGTTTCGGGAGAAAATTGAATTTGAATATTACATATTCAATGTTTTTCTCATTGCAGCGAAATGTATTTTATAAATAACTCTGTGAGTTTTCAACATTTTTCGTTCAAACTTGGTCAGATAGTAGAACTAGTCTAATGCTTTCATGAAAACCAATAAAAAAATTTTAGGCAAAATTAACTCTCAAAGGTGTTCTGTAACCTTAAGCAGTGTAGGACGGGAACGCGACCGCGTCGTTGAACGAAATGACTGAATTAGGCCGTAGGATGAGCATCCAAAACTACCAAAAGATGCTTAGAAAACGGATTCCGTTGCAC